GGAGGGAAGGAAGGGGGGATGGGAGGGAGGGAGGGAAGGAAGGGGCTGGTTGATTGATTGGATTGATTGGGATGGATAAGAACATACATTTAGAACTTGCGTTCTAGTTTCTTCACTGCTTCTGTCCGATCTCCAGAAAAAGTATTTGAATGCAATTATGTGAAGTAAATTCATGCATTTTTACCAAATCTTCACCTTTTCATAAATTCCTAGCACTTGTTCAATAGCCCTCTCTCCATGTGCATGGATGGCRACTTGCTTTCCCATGCCGTGGAAGTGTTTCACCAATGTATGCAGGTATTCTTTGCTAAAATTAAGTATTCCATAGTTCGGTGAAGAYGGAAAACCAAGCTTCTCAGTCAAGTCATTTTCCAGGAAAGGCTCACGAGACGCTATGGTTCCACAGTGCGGAGATCCATCAGAGACGATTTTCACGCCAGCGTACCACAGTTTGTCATTTTSTTTCTGGAAAGAATGCTTYTTTCCTGAAGAGGATTCCCMRTCAAGGGGAGATTCATTACTATCTTCTGGGGAATCCTCAATAGAATCAACATATCTGTAAAGACCCAATCGCAAWGGACAGTTGGGCTCTAAAACTGTATCTTCAATGGCCTTGTCCAGGAAATCATACCAGTTTGGAAAGAAAAGAAGATCAGTAACCGTTGTAAAGCCAATGTTCGAGTATTGCTGCAATTGATCGCTGAWTGCTTTCTTCCATTCTTTGTAGGTTGGAGGTGGAACACAAACRAGCAACGTGTTGTAAGCTACTGGCTCCATTAGTTTTCCTGTCAGTTTGTTTGTGKTTGGATCTCGTGCRTAGTACCCYCCCTCGGGGTCTTTAGTGTCCTCRTTGATTCCTGCAAGTTCAAATGCTTTGTGGTTTGCCCAGCCTATATGACGATTTTGACCTAGAGCAAAACAAAAGATATCAGATAGAAATAAGAATAAAATGGAATAAAATGGGATGGAAAAGATGGATAGGGAGAATGGAATGTGATGGAATGAGATGGGATGGGATAGACTGAAATGGAATGGTATCAAATAATAAATGGAATAGAATGGAATATGAAATGGAATATGCTGTGGAATGGAATGCAATGGAATCTAGTGCAGCCATAGACATTATTTTCATTGTCACCTAGAATTAATATAGGAATATCTTGTGAAAAACCATCTAAAATTTCAAARTTGAGATCAGGWAGGTCATTGATAAGTTCAGGATCCCAWCCATCAAATATGCACCATTTTCCACTTGACGGAGTGACATCCTTAACTGTCTTCAGAATGAGATCTTTGATTTGGCTGTAAGATTGATAATAGTAACCDCTACAATTCACAAAAAGGCAACGTGAAATTGTCATGTGAACGGCATGTTGATGGGCTTCTATCAATCCTGGAAGAAGAGTCTGATTGTCCTTTAAAGCAATGTACTTGGTACTAGATGAACCAAGAAGGAAAASGTCTTCTTGTTKCCCAACTGCAATGAYCTTGCCATCTTTGGTTGCTATGGCCTCTGCGGAAGGGCAGGYCTCATCCATTGTTACAATGTTTGAGCCATAAATAATGCAATCAGCAGATACAGGAGAACCCATTGTACTATTTAGAAAAAAGAATATTGAAGGTATTAAAGTCACTAATGACAAAGATCCACTGTTACAAGATGAAGAGAGAGCATTAGTGGAGAATGTGATTTTTAATTTTAATTCTATTAACTTTGCCAAAAATTACACAAAAATTASGATTTGCAAATACAATAAAAAATAATAATAAATAAATATTACAAGGGCATGGACACTACAAAAGTGTGGACCAATTACTGTGAAACCTTACAGTAGTACTATACCCATAGCATCTCTATAAGTCAATTCTAAACTCAAAATTTTTGATTAAATTGCTTTCTGTGGTAAAATTATTGTTTTATTTGAGGTGGAGAATGAAATCCTGTTGACTGATACAACTACAATGAACTGAGATGAGTTAGAGGACAACATTACAAATAACAAATGTTCAATTCTAATTGTATTCAGATATCAAACTTATTAGAGTTTTCCTAAACCCATTGAAACCTGCTTTTTGATTGCTCCATTACTGTACGTAAGATTGGGTTTTGTTTTGTTGATAGCACTGTTGGTTGTCCATTTGTTTTGTTTTGTTTTGTTTTGTTTTTGTTCAAACCTGATCACGAGGTTCGCATTATGACGCAGATACATTTTTAAAGTTACATTGAAAGTCATAGGAAACCATGACATTAGATTTATTTAACATTAATAACTTATTAATAAATCATATACATATGCTTTAAGAAATTTTTGGCTTTATCGATAAGGCCCATAATCGTACCATATCATTTGGCGTCGTATTTTCACACTACAAGTTTATATTTAAGTTAAATTCCTTACCTATTGTGTAGTGGATATGTGCCGAGAAACGATGGAGTAGAAGCTAAAATAATAGCTCGAAACACAAAAAACGTAATTGGGGACACAATAGATTCCGTTACAAAAGCCACTGCATGATCCAATAATATTTGTGGATGCCCTGAAGTACCTGCCAGCTGAATACAGAACTAGCASTCGAACAATGTCCTTTTCGTCACCAGATTCCCTCAAAACAATACACAGCAATCCCAAAATGAACAATTTCATCTCATTGAGCAAAAAAATAATAATCCCTATTTTATGGCAATTAATACAAAATTTARCATTAACAAAATAGCRAGTTAAGTAGTTTTTAAAAGAGAACGATAAAGCGAATTATTTKAAAAATTGATACTCTTTCAAATCAAGAGACCTGGTAGCGAATCGTCTCGCCTACCGGCCATCTCAATCTGTCTGTCKGTCARAGARCGCGGTTCTTTCTGTGGCTGTTGTCAATGATACTAGCAAGTGTCAAAATCGACTTCGTTTGGCTTTAAAGATTATCTTGATACAGGTATATCGACCAAAGTCATTGCATGGATTATTTAGATACCAGTTGTATAATATATTAGCTATTTGTCAAAGGTTTTGCTGGTATTCAAGTTYACACTGTATTGAAATGTAACCGCATTGTTTTTGTACAAAACAGTCACAAAAGCATAGTTACTACAATCGAATATTTGCTGTTTATTCTTGTTCTCAAAGCTGGAATCAATACAGAGATTTAATGATATCAAAATGTATTTGAATTTGAAGAAATAGCTTAATTTTTTTAGTAGAATTCGAGCGCAATTTCCGCTCAGACAAAGTTAATTAGCATGTCGAGAAACCAATTTCTATTTGGGAGTCAATAGACTAATATATGAACGCTGCCAAAYTCTCAAGCCTTGTATATTTAATTTGTTTTTCAGTATTTTAACTTTAACCGTTTTAATTCAGAGCTATGCAGTCTGAATCTTAATTTATCATCATAACGGTAAACATTTTGATAGATTTATGTAAACTTTGCCGTAAGGAAAACATCGATAATCCTTGAATAAACACCTGATATACTTTCACACGCTTGTTTACCTTGAAAAATTTATAATGTTCGAGTTTATTGCGTTTGAATTCGTATAGAATTTACAAAGTTGACATGAAAATCTTTTGATGAATATTATTGAGTGATGCACAGGTTAAAAAGTTTTATAAAGTTCGAGACTATAAATTGCTGATCTCGACAAAACACAGAGACATTCAATAATTTTCATTGATTAATTCTTGTGTAAAAGTTTCTAAAAGGTCTGTTTAGAATGTTGTTCTTGAATGAAGTGAAATTTTGGCTACACAAGCCAGCACCATCTGATTCTGACATTAATAAAAATATTTGTAACTTTTGTAACATAATATTTCTGGAACTTAGATAACTTTATTTGTGATTTATAGGAAACATGACATAAATTAAGTGAATATCAAGCAACAACATCGTTACCTAACATGGCTGTTGCTGAAGAACATATGGTAGCYACTGAAAATCTTGGACAGGGTCTCTTTGGTGTTCAATTAGAGGTKGGTTTTAGTTTGCAAARGTGTATTTTTTGGTGAGTCCAGTCTGGATTTGCCATTTCAATGTCAATAGTGTAAAGAAGTTGGGTAAAATTGTACTCATTTCAATGGTAAATTAAATATTATTGGATCGCTGGATACAGTGTGGAAGCCATTTGATTGTCACCTAGAAAACCATTTCAATGCCAATGATATAGGGAAGCCATTTCAATGTCAGCTGGAAAACCATTCCACTGTCAATTGATAGGGAAACCATTTCAATGTHGTCTGGGAAACCAWKCCACTGTCAATCYRGGAAACCATTTCAATGTCAGCTGGGAAACCATTCCAATGTCAATATTATAGGCCAAAACAAACTAAGTTACTTGCCCTGGGATGTCAATCATAAAATATGATTTCAGTGATAAAGAGAAGATCTGACTTATTATTTTCCTCAGATTACTGCCAAACTTCTTGAAGCAGAGCGAAGAAAATTGAGTCAGTTGCAGCATGTGCAGTGTGAGTTGGAAAGTGTTCGTGAAAGGACATCTAGTATTGATAGAGTAAGTACTATATTATAATCAATTTTTTGAAAATGTATTACAAATAATAGTCATCGGAAAGATCTTGGTTACATGATAAAACTTATTTCTTTTTTTCTCAGACAAAAGAAGTTGAAAGACAAAAGCTAAACTATGCGTATGTGTGAATGAATAATTTTATATGGGAAGTGGGAGGGAGGATGATATTGAATTCCTATTTATATATGCCAGGTATGTTGTGCCATACTGGCTGGGTATGGTTGCTTGTGACCTCTGTTAGATAGTTGAAGTTATCCATGGATTTGATTAATTATTGCTGTAATATCCTGCAAATATCAGTGAGTTATATTGTGATAGAAGAGCTTATTTCATTTTCTATACATTGAACTTATAATATAGTCGCTTGTCTTTACAACACAATCGCTTGGCAAAGGAATATGAAGATGCAGCTAGAGGTTTACTTAGAAGATCAACAAAACAGAAGAAGGTATTGCTTGAAAGGGGGGATCTCCCATATATAAGGGGGGGCATCCTTGGAAATTACTCTGCAAGGGTCAAACCCCACCCTGTTTCATAATGGAGTAGTAAGGGACTGTTCATTGAATATGCCTCAGGTTGGTCTGGAGGAAAAGTCAAAAAAACCTTGGGAAAATTTGCAGCCCCCCTTACTGCTTGAAAGGGGGCAGTCTCATATATAAAAGGGGGCAAAGTYATCCTTAGGAAAATCCTTAGGAAATTCAAAGGTCAAACCCTGCCCCATTTCACAAGGGAGTAGTAAATGCAAAAAAAAAATGCCTCTTTTAACAGGATAACATTTGTTTGACCTTTCAGTCTTCGAGAAGTTTGCCCTCTCTTGGCTTCAAGCAAACAGTCAAAGCTAGGGTAAATATATATCACCACTTGATATCACTTTTATGGCATTATTTATGGGCCGCTTAAGTCTGTTATTCCCATTCCATTTCTCTTTTTTCACTAGTGGATTGAGTAGAGTAAATTTCATTTTATTCCCATTCTATATTTTGTTATATTTCTTGTGTTTTCAGCCAACAATATTTGGAGGTCTTGTTGATGAAACTCTTAGATCAGAAGGGATGAAAAAGGTATTTTTTATAGCTTTAATTGGAAATTGATTCAACATGTAGACAATTAACGACTTTCCATACTCAGGTTCAGTGATAACAAATAAACYTTTTAACTGATTTATGTCATTAAGGAACACTGCAGATAGCTTAATGCATATGATGTTTTAAAATCTTTTCTTTCAGGAGTCAAATGGAAGTCTTTCACATTATCAAGGGCCGCTTCTATCCCCAAAGGGGGTTATGTCAGATGTGAGTGTAGATAGATAGCAAAATAACATTTTTAACCAATACACAGAACAATTCCATCTCCATGACAAAGAACTGCCGCGCAAGTTTTACATTCTTGTAGCTGCTTGAATTCTTGGATTTTGAAATCATCATAGACTGAAATGAAAGTGAAAAATGGAAAAATGGGATGAGACATGAAATTATGAATTTATTAAACTCCTATTCCATGCTGTCACATTGACCAAATGGATTTTGAAATCATGAAAGAAATTAATTAAAAGGGGAAAAATGGGAAAATGAGATGGGTTTAGTTAATGCTGAATTTTACCATTTCAAATTACTATCGCACTGTTGTCACATAGTATAATTAAGGTATTTTATTGTGTTTGACTACTACATACAATTACAATACTACTACAATAGGCGATATGCATTTGGCGTCATTTACTACAACTACCAGAATGCTTTGCCAGCTTTCTTTTGTAATGCAATTAGTGCCAATTGTTTTATTTATCTCCAATCTGAATAACAATGAAAATGCGCAAGGCTCTCTGGTAGTTGTAGTAAAGTTACGTCATAATGCAAACGGCCTATTGTGTTTTGGTGTTGAGATGTATTCTTCATGATTATTATACTTGGTCCCAGGCTGTAACGTACCAAGATGGCCGTTTGATTTCTGGGACRCTGGATGCCTTGATCGAGAAGCTGGTGCCTTCACCTAAGTATTATCCTGATGTAAGTGATGAACTGATTGTCACTGTATATGTTTGTTAGTGACTTTATTTTATTGTTTATAAGATGATATTTGGGATTTTTTGCATGTTTGTTTGTATGTTTTAACTATGGAATGTTTGCAGACATTTTTKTTACGGCATTGTTTGGCTTGTCTTATGGGCGTTTGGGCTTGTTTATTTGTGTCCTTGGTTCCTTGCTTAATGSTATGTTTGTAATCTTCAGCGGACCTACATATTTGCCTTTCTGTTGTGCTGCCGTTTGTTTATATCACCAAGTCAACTATTATCCAGAGTATCAGCGGTAAGTATATAAACAGCAAGATAATGAAATAAGAAATAATTCACATTTCCATTCCCACCCTATGGCGCTGTTCTAAATACATCCTTGATTTTTATAATGAAGTAATAATTAATAATGATTAATATATAGTGATATTATCCTTTAATTCCATTCAACAGGGATGCGCCAAAACTATGAAGAAAGCAAATCCAGATGATGTAAGTAAACATAGTTTACTTAATAGTTTGTTGATCTGTGCAAAGTTCAACAAAAGTGTTGTTTTTTTAATTTCAGGCCAGAAAACTAGGATCAAACCTCGTCCAACTAATGAGGTATAGATCAGAGTATTACACAAGTATTCCAACATAAGCTGATGCATACTTTGCTAAAAAGTGCAAGAAAAGTTATTTTTGAGAGAAAATCAAAGTTAAAGTCGTATGCAAATCAGGACAAATCTCTTGATTATATTGTCATAATGTAAAGGTACCTCCCCGGTTTAATTTCACTTACTTACTTGTAGTCCCTTTAATAAAGTGTGTCTTCTTTCAGCGAATGGACCGAGACGTTTACGAACGACTTCAGAGACGAGGTCATGATGATGCACTTCAAAGATATCACAACATATTGCAGCTCTTTAAGCACTGTTAGTATTTCATTACGTATACCATTATAGATCAGATCATCATTATTATAATTGTTATCAAAATTCATTTGTTTTCGTTACAGGAGCTTAAAAAACTAGTCAGTCAAATTACGCAGTCTCTATTTAGCAAGGTAAATTGTGCATTTGAAGGGCGTTCTCAATCATCGTATTATAAAAACATCACCATCATTGTCATCGATTGTCATSTTGTTTCAGCTCGCCGCGCTTGACAAATACGACGAAGTATTAACGCAGGCATCCGCTGCCGCTGAAGATCGTAGGCGCACTAATTCTTCCAAGTACAAGGTAGGGAAAGCGATCACGTGGTATTAGTGTAATGATAAATTATGGACTGGAGTGTCACATATCAATCAATTCATCAATCAATCATTCAATCCATCATTCAATCAATCAATCATTCAGTCTTAAATCAGTCAATCAATCAATTAATTAACCCATCAATAGCTCAAGTTCTAGACTCCTTCGCAGCTTCCCCTTTTTGTCGGGCTTCCTGTCCATTGACAACAGGGGAGGCTGCGAAGGAGACTTCTCAAGTTCCCGCTCATTTATTTTTTTTGTAGAGCGTTCTTGAAATGTGTGTCAGTCCYTCTGAGATGGCCCAGCAGCTGAGTCACATCGAACTGGTAAGAAGCGATACACCGAGTGAAAAAACGTTGTAGGGTTCAAAAAGATAACAATGCTAAGGCCGAAAGGGAGTATGGGAAAGCAAATAATTGGTTTATTAATGTTATGCGTATAGCAGGTTTTCAGGTCAAAAATGTCGCCTGTATTGAATCAAACCTCTACGAGTAATACTCTAATCTTTAACATGACTGTCAGTATAAAGGCAAATATGATTCGAGTTTCCAGGTTTTGGTCTCGTTATTCGAGTTTCGAATGCAAAATGCAGTAAGAAACTATTAATCATGCGTCGGATATACTCAATTATTTTCACAATAAGCTGGTTTAGTTACGATGTTATTCCATTTTTCATCCATTTTTCGTCCAGTTTCTACATTTCTCCCATTCATTTTGTCATTCATTTATTTCTACAATTCGTTTTCTTACATGTTTTCTCATGCATTCACCCTTCCAATTCGCCCTCAAGTTCATTCAACTAATAATTTGGTTTCCTTAAAATTGATTTACTTGTATTTGACTAAACAACATGTGATWGATCATGTGGTCAAGAAAACTGATGTTGTTTCGGATGACAATGTTAAAAACAAGTGAATTCATCGAAGTAGCCGTAATGGCGGTCTTGCCTTGGATTAAGGCCCTTCTCGCTAACAGGCTTCTTTTAATGTAGTACTTAGAATCGTAATCACTTATATAACGAGGTAGACTGACGCTCTTTACTCCAGACAGAAATTCAAATTTTCGTTGGCAACGCGTATGTCTTTACATTGATACCTCCGCCATATGGAATAATTAAGGTCGTCGGCAGAAATCGCTACAGTAGACGCAGGCTTTCAAGCCTTAGCTTGAGCATTTAGTGTATTGTATATCTTTTAGCAGACTCGTAGTAGTTTTCTTTTGCATGTCTTTATAATTCGTATTATACCATGACAATTAGATATCGTTTAACTGGCGTTAGTAGCCGCTCTTTCCTCTTATCGTAATCGTAAGGTTTTGATTATGCTCCCCGCCCTCGAGGCAAGACAACGAATGAGATAGTTTTCAAAGAATACAATAGCGCCACCAAACTTAATATTAAGTTTAGCCAAAAAAAAAAAAGAAATACCACGAAGAGCAGCCTTTCAGCCTTTCAAACATTATTTATAGGCTTAATAGGTTATGTAAATGGTGTCTAAATTGATATTTTTAGGCTAACAGGTTCTTAAATTGCGGGTATAAGCGGGTAAGTACTGTAAGATTTTCTTTGATAAGTCATGTCGAATGTTCGTACTCTCAATTGTTTTAGTATAGACCAATGAGCAAACTATATATACACTATTTTTCTCTAGTAATCAAAAAATTCAAAAATCAATATAAACATGCCTAGGATTAGGTTCTGGTCAAGCTAACAAAACCTTGACTAATATACCTAATATTTTTCACTAATTGCTGTTATTATGCCTAATTTAAACTCACAGCTCCAAGCAAATTTGCGGTCAAACAAAAGTCATGGTATTTAACGGTAAAAAAATCAAATAACTTTAATTAAACCAAGATAGAGAGAGGAAGGCGCAAGGAAATCACCAAGAAACATGCGAAAAGAAGAATAAGAATTAAAAAAAAAATCAATTTTCAAAGCGATAAACCGGTTGGATTGATAAGGGGTCATCCTCGTTAGATTACTGGCGGCATTTGTATAGATTGTCGTTTTGATTAGAAAGCCGTTCGCGCGTTTTTCGAGCTATTTGAACTTTTCATCTGGTGCTAATTTCTGTATAATCAGAAAGCAAGTATTGTTTGCTGGACAACTTAACATCTTATCTGTTTTGTATAGTATTGTTATTATTAGTTTTATTGTTAGATTTCAACTGCTGATTAGAATTTACCGCAAAAAAACTCATTAGCATTTGAAAATGTAGTTAGGCGAAATCGCTCTATTTTAGCTAGTGACGTAGCTTCCTGGGGGAGATTTCTTTTTTTAAACAAATGACGGTCAAAATCTAATTTCCTTGAAGAGTTCTCTGGCTTTTCGGCAAAAATATTGTACATTTTGTACATTTTGATGAAAAAATGTCAACGAAATTTTAGCATTTTTTTCGTTTTTTTTTTTCGTACGCATTTATACACCTAATTATAAAAACGTTGTCATTTAAAAAAAACATTTGTCTTTAGTTTAAAGGAAACATTAAATTGACAGCGTTATGGCTGAGTAATCGTCTTTTTAATGCATTCTTTTTAACTAAAGTAMAAGTTCCATATGACGCAACATTTTTGCAATAAGGTAGATATTCAGTCAACTCTTGCTATTATGGACACCCTCGGAACGATRATTTAAAAAAAATAGCGAGAGTACGTAATAACGAGGGTCACTTTCAGTCATTTCTTTGTATATTTCGCCAGGGATCCTGTATCTCGTGTCCGTAATATCGAGGTGTCCGAAATAGCGGGGTGTCCGTAAGGCGAGAGTTACTGTACCAAGGTTGCGTCCTCTTTTGTTTCTTATCAGACTACAATTTCTTACATTTTGCATAGCAACGTCCTTTTGACATAGTAGAAGCCCCATGTAGGGATATATTCTACCTGTCACCTGGGGGCGAAAATCGAGGGAGTTCTCCCCATTAATGGTGAATCGAAAGCAATTGAGAGCGCTAAATAGAYTAAAAAACATCAATGAGGAATTAATTGACAGAAATATCTTCTACARGCAGTAAAAAACGATATTTMAGACTTTAAAACTTGACGTCAGAGCTTTCGGCCAGATTTTGATACTCACATTTTTTGTGTCACCTGTTTAATTCCCCACGAGTTGAGCGTTGCTACAGCAAAGCGTGGCCTGAAACTCTGGTTTTGGTTGAAAATATGCCAATTGTCACCTGAATATATGAATTATAGATGAAGTAGTCCTATCATGTTATAGATTACTTTGTTTTTTTCGATCGTACAATTTTTACTGTACTAAAATTACTAAACTGCTGAAGTGCATAATAATGTATGATAGTCATCGTTTGTTGATCTTCTCATTGTAGTTGTCCTCGTTCTCTGTTTATCAAATGCAGATGTTGTATTCATGTTATCCCGGCCTTTTTTAATCCCCAACAGTCTCTTAAAGCCATCTCGATAGCTTTCGACAAAAAACAGACACAAGCACGGTGTTACCGATGCGTTGGAAAAGGCCAGTAGTACCGCAGCAAAATGGAAATCCGCTAGATAACACAACTTTTGCATGTATACCATGTTCTCTGTGAAGTAAAACATTGCTATAACGAGGGAGAAATAAGGCCCCCAGCAAACTGCAAACGCTGTCACGATGCAAAATGATAGCAATGTCATCTGTCTCGTTGCCTTCTGCCTCTTTTTAAACCCTGTGTTGCGAGGTGGGACTTTACGCGCGCTTTTGCGAATTCGAAACAACATTAMGGAATACATAAATCCTTGCATGACCCATGGAATCCCAATGAATGTTAACATCACTGYRGTAGTGTATATTTTATGGACAGTGAAGTCCCACGACATCATACAGAGGTTATTGGGTCCTAGCTTGATAACAAACAAATAMGGAGAGCAGAAAATGATGGATATGATCCACGAGGTTGCGATGTAGTACCGCTGGAGTTTCTTTGGAGCTCTCGCTGCTTGAAAAGGGAACACMACAGCCATGAATCTGTTATATGTTAGGAACACAAATGTGAGCATTGAAACCATAGGACATAGGTCAATCACAAAGAAGATAAACTTGCAAGTAAAATCACCAAAAGCGCCAGAAATTTTCCATTGATTTGAACCAGTGATGATCTCCGTCAATATTCTAGGCGATGCTACTAATGGAATCACGAGATCAGCAACTGCATTGTTTATTATCAAATAATCCATCGTTTTGCGCAATTTCTTGTTCTTCTTCACTACAAGGCAAAGGGTTACATTGCCTACTAACGCGAACACCACGTTCAACACATGTGCCAAGACTTTGAAGACAAATTTTTCCTTAGAGTCTTGACTGCATAAGATGGCTGTGAGATTATTTTGAGTAGAGTTCTGTCCATCCATATTTTTTGTAACAGATATTCAAAAGCTCTTGAGTAGAGCTGACAAAATTGGAGCCAACGATAATAATCTTCTTAATTCTAACCTTATCAAACGGGAGTGTCTCGAATTGTATGCCAGTAGCCTTTAGTATGCCAGAACTGTATACCAATTCGCAGGTTATTGAGGGTCTAAGTACACCCTTAATGTTTAATTCAATGTCTTGTTTCCAAATTTAGTATGTTAATCAGGCAGAATGCTACCATTACTGAGGCAAATGAATATGATTTCCATCAATTACCTCCTTATTATTAAAATGATAACAATATTGAGATTGCACACGTAGAGAATTTACTGTTCAGTCCAGCTTCAGTGCAGGTTTTAATCAAACATCACGTCGCTGTTTTGACAATTCATGGAGAGTATTGTTTATGTTGAAAGTTTTTCTTTAGAAAAGTCACAGCTTTTTCAGCATCCGCTTTCCTTTTCGTTTCTTACGCCGACGCTTTTTCAGTCTCGTAGACTAGCAGAGTCTTTATACCATCGCCTCGAGGTGTCTAGGATCAATTTGGACATTGAAAGAGAGTTTTAAAGTTTTTATTCCAAATTTGAACTTACGGTTCTGGATTGAAGTTAGTGTTGCCAATATTTACCTCATCGACACCCTGTAGATCTGGTTGATTATGATATTTTCCACTTTTATCTCGTATAGCCATACAAATTTTGCTAAATGAATAAAACATACACTTTTTATTGTAAATCATAATGAAAACAAATCAGCAGCACTTGTTATCACTTTACAATAAAAGTCATAAACCGTTGTATTTTTTATTCGGTAATGGAAATACGTGTTTTCTGTGAAAATTTGATATTAATCTAATCAAGTTCAATTTATCATTCGTTAGCTATAATTCATTTTTACCTTCTTGTAATTTGAAGAAGCTTTTAAAGAAGTCAGTGAGGTTTTATTTTTTTTACAGAATACTCTCGTAGAAAAACCTACGCAACAAACACCACTAGGCATATCCCTTCTAATTAGAAATTTTTTAACCATTCGTGACTTTTTTTATTATTCTTTTAATTTGTTTTTCTTTTGTGCTGCCAATGCTACTCTTATCGGCAGGTAAGCTAACAGAATACGTCAAAACAAATAAACCTATTATCAATATGCCAAATACGGAATCTATATCTCGCTCAATCGCCAAGATCAATTATTTACCAGCGTAGCCAGGCGTTCCTAGCCTTAGCGAGGGAGTTTGGGCCAGAGAAAGCAAGAAGAGACCTGCACGTAGAATAAACCCGTCCGTCCACGAACTAAATAGCTTGTGTACGTCTCATTTACGGGTAAATGCTGAATGAAAGCCAGGCTATGTTATCCACGTTTCTCTAGAAGAACAAACAAACGCCCACCTCGAAGTCCTGATGCTCAGGTTAGGGTTTCTCGGACCCAAACCCCTTTGGAGCAGCAAGAAACACCTGGGTAATAATCGTTGCCATGCTTAGATAGATAGTATACATCGATCTTACATCGTCGAAATGCACCGGCTAATAGAGTCACTTAAGTAACAATGCGCGCAAAAAGCAGGCAAACTTCTATTAGTTTCCAATTCACTAGGTTTTCTTTGTTATTCATAGGGTTGTATATACCATAGAAACTTAAAGCCGGGGAGGGATTTGATATTCAGCAGGGAAATGTGGGGTTGATGAATTGAATTGAATAGCTCGTTATAAATTCAGCGGGCTATATATGAGTGACCGGAATCACTCA